TTCGCAGACATTAACCCTAGAAAGATAACCATATGACAACGTACGTAAAAGATAACCATACGCTTCAGAGGCGCATGCTTTTCTAAGGCGTCAATTTTATACTAACAATGGATATTTATTTAAGTTAATCTAGTCATTTTAAAGGTTTGGCATTATTGTAAAAATAAAATACATTTATATTATATTTTTGTATATTTTAAGTAATTTTAAACTTAAATCACTAGACCTCTATGAAAAATTAACAAAAATCAACAGTCTTCGCAGGCGCCTCTGCGACGTAGGTTATCTTTCTCGGGTTAAAAAGATGCTCCAGGCAAAGAAATTTGGCTCAAATGCCGAAGTGATTGCTGAAACGGAGGCCTATTTTGAGAACAAAGACAAATCGTTCTACAAAAAAGGCATCGAGAAGTTAGAGGAGCGTTGGAACGAATGTATCGCTCTTGAAGAAGAGTATGTTGACGAATTTCTAAAAAAAAATTGGTTTTTCGTAGCTAGACCGGAGACTTACTGAGTGATGTGTTAGATCCAGAAGCTAGGCGTGAACAGTGAAACGCGTCGCTGGTCGTTCTAAACGCCCGTACAAAGAACTTCAATTTTCAAATGAAAATGAATTTCGAAATACCCGCACGAGCTATTTATGGTGAATCGAGATAGAACATAGATCCTGGTTCGAATCGTGGAACGCGCGTCTTTGAAATCCTGAGAATGGCGGATTGCCCCCGTAGACTCACCTTCGCGTTCGGCCTCGATGGGAATTCTTCTGATCGATAGTAGAAATACTGGAAAGACTGGATTTTTCATGGAGAAGATTCTTGGTGCTGTCGCGTGTTACGGTGCCATGTTGTCTGCCATTCGCTGTTAGTAATTTCCTTGGTCGGCCAACACCTTTCCCCGCCGCCCCACCGTTGCAAACACCGAAGCACCACGCGTTTGAACATTTTCCTCGTTACGTAACGGCGAATTTGAATTTTAATGGACCCCACGCCTGTGCGCGGCATGGATACCGACACCGCTGTATCGAAGTACGATCAAGCATATTCCTCCGGCTAATTTGATAGATGGTCGTTAACGAGCCAGCTGGCAGCCGATGTCCACGAAACGTTATCGCGTCGCGTCGCGTCGCGATTCGACTCGCTTCGGAATTAGTCACTTATATTTTGTTGCATGCTGATTTCTGTGGACACGCACACACGCTCCACACCATCGATAAACACCGTATCCGATGGACATATTTGAAAATCAATTACATATTGCGGTGCGGGTTCATCGATTATTCCGATACGTATGGATTCATCAATTATTTAAATACAAAGTACGAAATTGTGTGTGTGTAGAGGATGAGACGTATAAATGGAACGCGCGTATCACCGTGACAATACTGTTAATAAACCCGTTAGCGTTGAATAATAGCGCCGAAGCATCGAATATAATATTTTCTGTAGCAATCGGTGCGGAAAATATAATCTTTCTGCGCCAATTACGAGGAAAAACAATTAGTCAAATGGATATCCATTTCTTCGCTGGATAGTTTCGATGAGAATTGACTATCTTACCACCTCATTACCGTCGCATAAATGTGTCAAATCGATTGATAATAATTATAATCGGATCGACTTTGACACCTTAAAGTCGTTGATTGCAACATGTTGCTGCCGCTTCTTTGCAAGTTCATTCTCGCGAAACATTCGCGTGCAAATGTCGGCCACTTCATAGTCGGTCAAGTATCCATTTGAAGCTTCCGTGCCGACCGTACCAATGCAATTAAACCACGAAACTCGAGTCGACTGCATTTTCTGTGCCGCGATGCACGTGTACTACTTGATCCGCGCCGCTCGTGCTCGTGCTCGTGCTCGTGCTCGTCCAAAAAGCACACGATCCTCGCTATTATTGGCGAACGAGAATCTTATTTAATGGAACCGACACACCCGGGGAATTAGGGCGCAGACCGTTCGTTTAATTTCAACTAAGAGCTTCGCAAAGCTTTATAATAGATGCTGCATGTAGTATTCATTCCGCTCCGGTTCGAATTGTCCCCTTTACGATGAAACTTTTTACATGCATTTACCAAAACTCTATACTGAAAAATGATCCGCCGAATGTGGCGAATTAAGAAACGATTAAAAAGAGGCTTCCACAGAAGAAAATCAGACGATCGGATCGAACATTATTACCAGACCGGAAATCTTTGCACAAATTCTATTTTTCAAACGTGATCTAACAAAAATCAGAAGCAACGAAAAGTTTCCTTCGCAGAGCAAACGATTACCCTATGTAAAAAGAAAAGATAGACTTCCTCAGGAAAAAATCAGATGATCGGATCGAACGACATTATACTCCTAGACCGGGAATCTCTGCGCAAATTCTAATTTTCGAACGTGATCTAACAAAAATCAGAAGCAACGAAAAATTTCCTTCGCGGAGTAACCGATTACTCCATGCAAAAAGAAAAGATAGGCTTCCTCAGGAAAAGATCAGATCGAATGGAATGACATTAATCCCAGACCAGGAATCTCTGCGCAAATTCTAATTTTCGAACGCGATCTAACAAAAATCGGAAGCAACGAAAAGTTTCCTTCGCGGAGCAAACGATTACTCTATGTAAAAAGAAAAGATAGCTTATCATTATTAAGTTTCTTACGTTGGAGATTGGTATGGTTTCCTATAAAGATTCCGTCGATAAAGTTGACGCGGCCAATCTAAAGTAAGCGTTTTAAGAGGGTCGGCGTGCCAACGGAATTCCTTTGCAGCGCATCGAGGTGGACTCGAACGAGGTAGGCGGGATGGTGCGAAAGAAAGGTACGTTTGGTCCACCCCGCTGCTCCACCAACGAGCCAATAACCCAGTCGAATTAAACCGAACGTGTAATGAACGCTTCCGACGTCATTGGTACCTCGGCGCGGCACGGCGCGGCCCGGTGTGCCGTGGCAGTGTGGCAGTGTGGCATGGCGTGGTACGGTGCACCTCGTTGCAGCTCGTTGCAGCTCGACGCCGAGCACTGCTGTGTTCACCTGTGCTCTGTAATACGAGATGCATTCGCATTACGCAAGTCGTTGCGGTGGCGAACCGCACACGGCTCCCACACAGCTGGCTTATTATTTACAACCCGCGGCGCTCCACGGCGTTACTCTTAATTTCTGCGTTTCTCGATTTCCTCCGCGCCGCGTCGGAGCGCAAACCTCCGACATTGGTAGCAAGCAACAACAACCTTGATTCGATGTTTTAATCCATAACGCTCTGACGTCTCCGGGCTCCCGCTATCCGCGACAGAAAATACAGTAATGTTTCTCTAATCGGCGCTCAGATTGTCCACAAAAATGGACAATTTAGAAAGAGAAAAGATACGATTATTCGATCCTTGCGGTTCATTTTTATAGTTTCGAATTGTCAACAACTATAAGAACGAGCTGCGAGGCTCGAATAATCGTGTCTCCTCTTTCCAAATTGTCCATTTTTTGTGGACAATCTCGGCGTCAGTTCGGGAGACATTACTGCACTTGCGATGGTCGAAATCGTGGATTCGGTTGTTGAAGGATTTATTTGCGTGTATATCGATAGGGTTTAATAAATGCAGAGTTTCATGAACAATGTTTGATGCGACGCGATAGAACGGACGTTTTTATGTCAAGAAATATTAACGACAGCTGAACAACATATTTGGAGCACTCGCTCTCATTCACGTCTCGAAACATTAATTTGTCCGTCGCTTGTACCACGTTAATTAGCATTTCTTTATCCTTGATCATTCGCCTGATACAACGAGACCATTTTTGTGTTATTCTATGTCTTCGACAACTTTCGTTCCAATGTTATGATACCGGAAGATGATGAATCTGTTTCGATTTAGAAGAGATTGGAAAACGTATTAGGTAAATCGTGTATGAAATCTTCGTCGTGATCCTGACTCGTTGTTATAGCGCAAACGAGTTGAGAAAAATCTACGACATCTATAATTGATTCGTATAAAATGTTCTAGCTTAATTGATGGAGCTTTCTTATACCTCTCACTGTGAAAACGTTTCCTCTAGTCCAGGTTTTAAATGCTTTTAAAATCAACCGACGACTTTAAAAGCTGGACAACATTTTCGATAGCTATTTGATTGCTTGAAAAGTTGAAACGTAATTGAACCGAATTGAAGCGTTTCTAACGGATGATTTCTATGAATCAAGTCTACAATTGATTCGCATAAAATGCTCCAGCTTAATTGCTGGAGCTTTCTTATCTCTCTCACTGTGAAAACGTTTCCTCCAGTCCAAGTTTTAAATGCTTTTAAAATCAACCGACGACTTTAAAAGCTGGACAACATTTTCGATAGCTATCATTCGAATAATTGCTTGAAAATTCGAAACGTAATTGAACCGAATTGAAGCGTTTCTAACAGATGATTTCCATAAATCAAGTAACAGAACGACAAGCGCGACGCGACTCTACGCGACGCGGCGTTAATGAAATTCGAATATTTTCAAAGTCCCGAGGAAAAAGATCGGCCGGAGCGATAGTCTGGCGGTCCGTCACTCGTAGCAATATTATTATCGGATGCGAATGAAGATAGAATCGTGAACTAGCTACAAGATACAATTTGTCCGGTATAATTTGTTTCCGCCGCTAATTATCTCGTATATCTCCTCCTTATCTGTCAGAAGCGATCCGCCGCGCCGCGCCGCACCGCGTCCCGTGCTTTCAATTTGCACCGCTGCTAATAGTAACCTTCGTTTTATTCGGCTACGGTTTGTAATCGTGCGAAACTTATTTGAATGCTATAAATCATACGGAGATCGCGAGCGATTAGCTTGCGTGCCACAAATTGAAATCTCGCAGGTGCAATAGCAAATGGCAAATACCGGTCCGAAGATAGAGAATGTCCGAGACACATACGTAGGCGCTCGCTTGCACGCGCGCGCGCGCACGCACGCACGCACGCGTCCATGTCCCCGTAGATTTAGAACGCGTTCTTCGAATCGAGGGAACGAGCATTTAACACGTTTGTTCTCGTTTGTTCCAGGTTACCACAGTTTGCCGTTTTAGCGAAGATTTTGTGCCTCCTGATGGTACGTATATTCCTACACCTCGAACTCACGAACATAACACTTTACGATTTACCGGTTCGAAGATTACCGATGGTCTACACACGTTTTCCTGGCCATGTTAATTGATTTTCTAACGACTGCCACCGGTAAACATCTTCTTTTAAATAACAACAGACGTCGAAATTATTTACGTTGGCTTTCCTGAAAATGATTTCTGCCATTCGATGGAAAAATCGTTGAGAAATTATCGAGAAATTCGTTAAAAAATCATTGCCTCTGAATCGTCGATTTCTTGAGATTATCGGTTAATAGTACCGGATAATTTGTTGTAAAATGAAAAGGATTTGTTACGTGACTCGGTAATACGTTGGTAAACGATGCGTTACTAAAAAAAAATTAATACTTTCGCTTTTTCATAAAATATATGGTTAGAACGAGAATATTTGTGTACAATACTACTTTTACCTTTTCTCAAAATTGCACATGACAATGCGGAATTGTTGCTCGAAACAGTAGTCGATTCATCGTAAAAAATTCTCGAAACATTCAATTTATTACAAAAATGCTGCCATTTCTGTCTGAAATAGAGGAACCTGAAGACAAACGTGTAATTGATTCTGCATAGAACATATAAGGATTTTGTGTCAGCCGATCGGAAACACATCGTTTCAAGACAAGCATAGAAGCTGTATATGTGTCCCGAAAATGTCTCGCAATCCGGAAATGGCGGGTTCTTCGGATCATTTGAAGCAACTTCTTCCTCTACAAAAATGTTCTCCGAGGCACCGTTAACGAGTTATAAACGAAAAACAGTGACCAATAATCGAGTACGGCTGACGCGAGGCGGCCCAGCCAACCAGCGCACAAAGCCCAGTTCCGCTCATTGACTCGGCCGCCTCGCGCCAGCTGAGCTGGGATTCGACCGCTCGACCGCTGGCGCTGTTGGCTCGGCCGGCTCGCGCCAGCTGAGCTGGGATTCGACCGCTCGACCGCTGACGCTGTTGGCTCGGCCACCTCGCGACAGCTGATCTCGCCTCTCATTGGTTACTGTTTTTCGTTAATAACTCGTTAACGGTGCCTCGGAGAACATTTTTGTAAAGGAAAAAGTTGCTTTAAATGACCTGAGGAACCCGCCACTTTCGGATTGCGAGACATTTTTGGGTCACCCTGTAGATAAGCTCGAAGCTTTGAAGCAAGTTCAATAAAACGGAATCGAATTTATTTGTTCGATCGCGACGCGTCGAGTGTTCCCTATATCCCGTTGAACCATCAAAGATTTATGCTCGCAGCCGAATGCGCTGTATCGCACGGCAGTATGCGCTATCTTTCTCGTCCCAGTGACCCGCGGTTCAACCGAAAAAACGATTCGAGCCGGCCAGAGTGTTTTCGCACTGTATCCATAATTTTCGGGAGTACACCAGCGTGACCCGGTTACGTTACCTTTAACGAGCCGTGTAAAATTTGAACGAGGGCTTTGGCCGCGTTCGTGCGCGATTCGTAAACTTGCATGCTTTACTTGTTCCGACAGATACGTAAGCGATATAAGATACGTGCCAGAGCTTTGTAGACTGAACGGTGACTAGGTCAGATCGGAGATACCCGGTACACGGCCGCCGCGGCCGGGTTCGCGTTTAGGCTAGGGTAGGATGGCGTGCCGAAAGTTCATCCAGGTCTTGGTAAATCGACGCGATGCGACGGTTAAATCGCCGGGCACCTTACCTGTCACAGATTAACGACCGGTGTCTTCACTCCTACGCGTTAGAACGTAGCTCTCTTGCCAGCCCTTTGTCGGTTCCGAGCCCTTTGCTTCCTTGTTTTCTCGCGGTCTACGATATTGCTCAATGATCCGTCTCTTACTGTACTAATTGCAATTCTTGCTCTTTATTACGGCAGCCGAGCACAAAGCGACCGTGTAATATTCCGTCGCGTGCGACCGCCTACAAAAAGTTGATGAAAAACACGCCTCGACCGCAGTAACACCCAAGAAAGTACCGGGTTCGTAACCGTCCGTGTCTGTGCGATCAGGTTGCAAGAGAAATTGCAGCATCATCAGTTCGAAAGCTTCGATTTCTAAGTCGAACCTGCGGAAAACACCGGCACGAATCGATTCTGGATAGAAACGATAAATAAATAACGTTCCAGTCGGATAGGTTTTGGATCGATTGTAGGATACAGTTTCTTAGATAAGTCGAAACGGGTACCGGAGAAAGCTTAAAAAATCTGTAAAAAGTGAATCGGTTTTCAAGATTTCCATTTCGAAGCTAAGTAGGAAAATTGGTATTAGGTAATACGAACGAAATGGCCCTGGTAATTGATAAAGAACGATTGCTATTTCTGGTTTGTCGCCGGATTTGTTATTTAACGTTTCTGCGGCGCGAAGCAATTTAACCTCGGCTTTGTTACAATCCTATGTGAATTTACAATATCTACCGATGCTTATTCATATGGAAATTTCATTTCATACGTACGCGCCACGCGCAAGTCGATAATGCGAGATGCCGAGTTACTTCACACTTCGCAGCTAAGTATAATCGTGCAGGAAATGCGTGGCATCTAAACCGAATATTTAAAAAATCATTGATTTATAGACATACATATATCTGCCGCCGCGAGGCTTTTATATTTCTTGCAAATCTTATCAACGCGATAACCGTTTCCGCCGCATCTTCGCCGCTTAACCTTGTTTCACTTTGTTTTGCTCAATTACTCGATAAACATTTGCTCAACAGAGCTTATGAATGAAATACCTCGACGTAGAAAAATACAATGGCGACGGTTCTTTTCTATCGGGAATAGAAGAGAAGAGAGAGAACACGGGGTTTTCATTAAAAGATCCCGTTTTTTTCCTTCGACCGACATCTTTAACCGATAACGATATCAAATAAGTAATCCCCGCCCGAGTAATCTGAAATTTAATCTAGATTTTCAAATAATCGCATATTCTCACACGTGCAACAAATTCTCTAGTTTTCGAGTATCGGCATTTTCAAGTTTCCACGTTTGTCGCCTTAATAAACAGATCTATTAAGATTGTTTAGGCTAATTTTCTGGCAGATACGCGACTTCAAAAATTGTTATACTGACATATTTTCTACAATGTGTTGGATACTCGGACAAGTTTCACCGTTTTTTATTTGAAACAGAAAATTATCCGAATTACAGAAATTTACCAAATTTTATAGATATTTGTACAGTAAATTCTCTCTAATTGACGCTCAGATTCTACACAAAAGCGGACAATTTTGGAACAGGAGATACAGTAATGTCTCCCTAACTGACGCTCAGATTACAGTAATGTCTCTCTAATTGACGCCCAGATTGCGCACAAAAATGGACAATTTGGGAAGAGGGGATACGATTATTCGAGCCTTGCGGTTTGTATTTTATTTTATAGTTACGAATTGTTAAGAATTATAAAAACGAGCCGCAAGGCATTTAGTGGACAATCTGAGCGTCAGTAAGGGAGACATTACTGTATCTACAGAAATGGGGACAATTTGGGAAGAGGAGATACGATTATTCGAGCATTGCGCCTCGTTTTTTTACAATCGCCAATTATCAACAACTATACAATTCGTAACTATAAAATAAAATACAAACCGCAAGGCTCGAATAATCGTATCTCCTCTTCCCAAATTGTCTCCATTTCTGTGGACAATCCGAGCGTCAATTAGAGAGACATTACTGTACAATTATTGGAGAGTCTTGCGACTCGTTTTTATAGTTAACGATTGTCGACAACTATAAGAATGAATCGCGAGGCTCGAATAATCGTGTCGACTCTTCCCGAATTGCCCATTTTTGCGTACAATCTGAGCGTCAATTGAGGAGAATTTACTGTATTTCTGAATTCCTGGAACAACGATGTCCAGATAAACGCTATTTCCGAGGCACCCGGTGACATTAGATTCGGCGGAATCAAAGATCGCCCGACGTCTTGCCATCGCATCGTAATGTCGCCGTCGCCGTCGCCACGACCGCGACGCGACGCTCTGAAATAAAACAACGGCAAATTCTACAGCCATTAATGGACAGCTCGTGTTCGCTCGTTAACAAATTTCAGCATCGCTATACATCCTTTGTAGTTTCCGCTATAACGACGTGCCTCTGTCCCCCTCTTCGACATTTTCTCTTCTGCGGACGAAATCGCAGGAAAGCCGCACAAGGAACGCGAACGACCGGACGGATCATTCGATGCCGTGATATGCGAGTCGTCCGTAAAAATCTTCTTGTTTGGAGTCGTGAAGGAACCGTGACGCCCTTAACGATTTCGCTTTCGGTCCTCGGTCGACGGTCGTCGGTCGTCGGCCGTCCGCCGTCACGCCGAAAACACGTTCCGCGTGTTCTTATTTGCTCTCGCGTCCTTCCAACGATTTTAAGAATCGGCGGTCTCCCTTCGTGACGACGCGAGTTAACGAAAGGCTCGACAGAAATCGCTGGACCACGAATCTTCAACCCAGGCTTCTGTCGTTACGAATCGTTGCATCGACGCCGCAGAGCTGACCAAACTTTTTGCACTAAACGAAACGTTTCTTTTCGCGAGAAGAAAATTTGCGTGTTCATTATTTTTGGCAGACGCGATTACCTTTATTTTTTGATTTTCCGCAGATTATTATACAAATCTGAGCAACATTTGTGCACTACATGAAACGTTTCTTTTCGCGAGAAGAAAATTTGCGTGTTCATTATTTTTGGCAGATACGATTATCTCTAGTTTTTGATTTTACGTAGATTATTATACAAAGCTGATCAAACTTTCTGCACTAAACGAAATGTTTCTTTTCGCGAGAAGAAAATTTGCGTGTTCATTATTCTTGGCCCGACACGATTATCTCTAATTCTTGATTTTCCACAGATTATTATACAAAGCTGACCAAAGTTTTTACACTAAACGAAAGGTTTCTTTTCGCGAGAAGAAAACTTGCGTGTTGATTATTTTTGGCCCGACACGATTATCTCTAATTCTTGATTTTCCACAGATTATTATACAAAGCTGACCAAAGTTTTTACACTAAACGAAAGGTTTCTTTTCGCGAGAAGAAAACTTGCGTGTTGATTATTTTTGGCCCGACACGATTATCTCTAATTCTTGATTTTCCACAGATTATTATACAAAGCTGACCAAACCTTTTACACTAAACGAAACGTTTCTTTTCGCGAGAAGAAAATTTGCCTGTTTATTCTTTTTAGTAGACACGATTATCTGTATTTCTTGATTTTCCGCATATTATTATACAAAACTGACCAAACTTTTTACATTAAACGAAACGTTTCTTTTCGCGAGATGAAAATTTGCGTGTTCATTATTTTTAGCCCAACACGATTATCTCTATTTTTTGATTTTCCATAGATCATTATACAAAGCTGACCAAACTTTCTGCACTAAACGAAACGTTTCTTTTCGCGAGATGAAAATTTGCGTGTTCATTACTCTTCGCCCGACACGATTACCTCTATTTCTTGATTTTCCGCACATTATTATACAAATTGGTAAACACAGCGTTTGAATCGCTACCGACAGCTGATCTCATTAGTTCATCATTTTCGCAGGTATACGACGCAAGTTGTTCGAATGTTCGATCGGTTAATTCAAGAAGTGTTCGGTTCGAAATTTTTCTTGTCAAACGTTACAAGACGCGGCGGCGTCTTCGCGGATGTCTGCGATGTTGGCAATCATTTTGTACAATGCGAAATTCTTTACAATTTGCAGGTGGTGATGTGCGGGGCGGTGCCGGCAATGGTGCGCTCCGTGAGTCTATACTCAACTTGCAGCAGCGGCAATGTTACCGTAATGGGCCGCTCGATCAAAGCGATTGGACGCGATGATCACAATGCACCCTACCGTAAGTAACGCAGTAATTAATCGCGTCGCTTTAACAAAGAAATTTACCGCGATTTTCGAAATGCCAGCCATTTCGATTACCTCTTTCTTCACTTTGCCCGTTTACTTGCGTACTTGCTACTATTCGTTCCCCTTAACTTATGTTATACTAACTTAAATTAGAGCTAATCGATTGGTTGCATTAGGTATTTACGACGGCTCGCAAAACATTACTGTGGGAGGATTATTATTGTTGGCTACGGCCATGTACAATTTTTCTTTTCTTTCTATAAAAGATTTATCCTCGAATTATAAATAATTATTTTATTCCATAAAAGAGAATATAAATAATCGGAAAACACGCGCGCGTCCTATATTCGAAGTTATGACAAATTTCGGAGCGTTTGAAATACAGTGAGGAGCATAACTGAACCACAAGTTTTGTGTAAATCATTATTTATTGCTAGGAATATACCAGAATAACGAAAAACAAACATTACAGTTATTTTCATCGCAGTTAGGAGCAACGTAAGAAATTTTTGCAATAATTAACGTTTTGTTGTTTAGGAATGACAACAACAATAAATTGAATCGGTTTTGCATCACGTCCAATACTTGACAATATTTAATATATTCTTTATTTTTAATATTTCGTCCACAACCCTTTTGCTTGCGAAACTGTACTAATTCGTTTTGGCATACTTTCTACTAATTTTCTGCGATAATCCGGAGATATTTGTTCCCACTGTTCTTGAATTCTATTATACATATCTGTGATCGAAGTTGGTTGGGAGTCATATGAATCCCAAAGATGTCTTTTTAGTAAATCCCATAGATTTTCGGTAGGGTTGAGATCCGGGCTTTGCGCAGGCCAATCCAGAACAGAGAATTTTTTAGTATTGAGCTAATTTTGTACACTTTTAGCAGTGTGCTTAGAGTCTTGGTCATGCATGAAAATTACATTTTCTTCTTCAAAAGGTATATTTACAAACGCCCTCTATGAGATGATCTTGTAAAATATCCTTGTACATATAATGATTCATGATGCCATTAATTCGGTGCAAGTGATCCAACATCAAATGCAGTTAGGCACCACCGAAACATTAGGGATCAGGGTGTTCCAAAAATGTCTCGCAAACCGGAAATGAGAAGTACCTGGGATCGTTTGAAGTAACTTTTTCCTTAGCGAAAATGCAACCCGTGGCTTCGTTTACGAATTATTAACGAAAAACACTGACCAATGAGAGGCGAGCTCGCCTAGCGTTTGGCGGCCGAGCCAATGAGCGCGCGAAGCCCAGTTCCGCTCATTGGCTCGGTCGCCTCGCACCAGCTGAGCTGGGATTCGACCGCTGGCGCCGTTGGCTCGGTCGCCTCGCGCCAACTGAACTGGGATTCGACCGCTCGACCGCTGGCGCCGTTGTCTCGGCCGCCTCGCGCCAACTGATCTCGCCTCTCATTGGTCACTGTTTTTCGTGAATAACTCGTTAACGGTGCCACGGAGAAAATTTTTGCAAAGGAAGAAGTTGCTTCAAATGACCCGAGGAACCCGCTACTTTCGAATTGCGAGACATTTTTGGGACACCCTGCATGTATGCGCGCGTCGGCATACGAATTATGAATAGCTTTGGTGTCTCGTTTGAGAATAAGGTCGGCGTCGACACGCGACACCGGTGCGAAAGAGAGCGACAGACCAGAGGCAGAAGGCAGCTTCCGAATCCGAATAGGTAGAGCTGCATCGTGTGGGTTCGTTCTACATATGTATGTATGTACGTACAGGACGAGTCGATCGGTTAATTGAATCGGATCGGGTAGCCGGCCGACGGCCGACACGGCCGACACAGCCGCGGCCGTGACGTTATCTCCTCGAATCGATAGTTTCGTCGACTAATAAGGATTCCGAACAAAAGAGTGGCGAACTCCTCGAAGAAATAAACGTCTCGGTCTACGGCACTAAAGATCCGAATTTATAGCGATCCTTATCGATCGACCTAGGGTCAGGGCCTTATCTCGTTCGCTTTCCTTCCGAGAGGTTCCGAGACCGAGTTTTATCTTTACGAACTAATAACCAAGCTCTATTTCCGCGGACCCGGGTTACGTGCGCGTACCACGGGGGTGGAACGAACCGAAGGAGTAAAAGAAACCGGTCATCGAGTGGCCTGGATGAATTACAGCGTCCCGCTGCCTCGTTTCGTTGCGATTGTTTTCGACTAGACAATGCTTATCCGACTTATCTCGCGTTTGGCTCTGCCGAAACGAACCCGCGCTCGTTTTCGCCGCTTATTTATCAGCACGGCGTCGCGCCGCGTCGCCTTCGGAGTTCACGGTCGTTCTCCTAGATACCTAAGTATGTGTCGCGTTCACCCTATTACCACCAGAACACGTACTTATGTATGTACAGTTACTCGCAAAACTGAGGGTACACCATTTAAGACGCAGTAACTTTTTTAAAACTGGATCAAGTGATTTGAATTTTTGTTAGATGATTGAGGAACGAGACGATGACTAAAATGCCTTGTTTTTTAAATTTTGCTATTACTTAGGATGACGAAAAATAAAAAGTAAAAAATGCTTTATCCGAGTATATAATAAAAATTTAAAAAATGCCTTTCGTAGAGCTCGAAATTGTTAATTAATCCTGATGGAAAAAAGCAAACAAGCAATTATACAATAAACAGCAGCAGTTATATAAACGGATTTAAAAGGACAGTATATAGCACGTGTACATACTTCGGATAAAATATATATCATTATTTAACTGGATACGCGGTATTGCTTATTTGCTTTTTTCCATCAAATCCAGAGTCAAGGTACAGACATTGAAAGATTTCGAAAAACTGCGGATTTCGTCTAGTTTCTGGTCAAAATCGCGATAAAACTGCGATTTTTGTCATCTTTAAATTGTCGATTTCTATACAATTTTCAGCATGCATATTAGTTACCGAGATCTATGAGAGGCATTTTTTACATTTTCGTTATTGGCTCGGATAAAAAACGTTATGAAAAGAGTTTTATCATTTTCTGTCATTTCAAGTAACAGCAAAATTTAAAAATAGCATTTTGGTTATCGTCTGATTGATAAGTCTCGCTATCATCTAAAAAAAAAATTCGAGTCACTTAGACCAGTTTTAAAAACGTTATCGCGTCTTAAAAGGTGTACGCTCAATTTTGTAACTGTATATTTTGTGATGACCAGTCTGAATCACTGACATCGAGATTCGAAAGACTCATTCGTCACCAATTAACCAGTCGATTTATTTATTATTGCTGGAAACAGTCCTTAAACACTTCGGCACTGTAAAATATAAACCGTAAAGAAAATCTATGTACGTAACGGATTGTCAAAAAAACACGAACGAGCGTCAAAATTAATGAAATCAAAATGTCGACTTTCTAAAGGTCAAACGCAATGAAACTGATTCATTTCTTAAATAATCGAGCATTTACTAATAATATTAATGCTATTATTAATGCTGCTAATAATATTAACGATACCAGTAGCAGTAAAAATCGTAGAAAAGCTAACTAAATATAGTCCCGTTACTTCAGCAATGGTTCCCGTTTTCCGGGTATCGTTGGAAGTATCGAGCGAATGGAAAGAGACGGAGAAACGCGCTCAATGCTCTGACAGTCGTTTGTCGTTCCGCGTGGAAGGCTAATACACAATGACAAATTATCCACGACCGCTACCAGTGGTGTCAAAGCAGTCGCGATAAACTGCGCGGAGATTGAATAAACGGGACTAATTGGTTAACCCCTTGACCCTTGCGAGATTGTGTCAGACTCCGGTTGAGGTTCGAGCCTCGGAATAAATTACACTCAGCATACGCTTCGGATATCTCGTTTCTTCTATTGTAGATAAAATCACAGGGACCCATAGATCTTCGCATTAAAACTGAACCCGTTCTTACCAACACTGTTTTCTGGATCAGGATGAATAATAATTTAACACATCTTTGCTATTTAATACGCAATAATTTGCGAAACCATGCTCTAATATTATTCTCGTTTATTGTACTGTCCCATTCAGGAGTATCATTGTTTCTTTCAATATCGCCAATTTACCGAAGGGACTAAGTACGCCTTGCAGAAAATCGAAAAAAATGGCACGTAAATATAGGATCAGGTTAATCCTTAACGCTCCGAAGGCTCCGCTACGGAGACATTTGTCATTTATACCGTAACTCCGAAGGCTCTGCTGCGGAGCCAAATGTTTTTAGCATACCTTATCGTCGGCGTTAGAAATTGTTATCTGTAGTTAAAACGTGCTAAGTCTGTACCATTACGATTAAACCATTTTTTGACCTTTTCTATGGTTAGCAACGTGGAGAAAAATAAATATTACGATGAGAATTTAGAGCCGAGCGATACCGAAGACGTATTTGATTTTGAAGAGTTAAAAGACATTGTGGAAGACAATGTTGGTTGTGATTCTGACACTTCGAGTAGTAGCAGCGAAATTATACTACCAAAGCGACGAAGAATGAGAATTATTGAAAGTGAAAGCGAAGATTCGTTGCAAGACTTGGATGAAAGGCGCGATGTTACGGAAGAATTACATATTCCAGATAGAATACCTTTTAGCGTATTGCCACAGGTCGTTGGACCACAAGTTC